ATTATGACCACATGTACTAATACATGTGAAAGTGCTTGGAAACTATGATATTGAGCAAGAAACCAGTTGCTCTTGGGCAAAAAATAAACATAACACATGCAGGTGTAAGAAATTTATACTTTACCCAGCATCAAACGAAGCAGAAGAAAAAAGTTCTTTGAGAGAAATTGGGTTTGAATTTTTCTAATTAAGAAGATCATATAAGGAAAATGTTCATTTCACAAGCTATGTATCATACATCCTGGAATAGGAAGAGAGTTAAGAAATACGTCTGGTCTCCTGCCTTCAGAAAGGAAAAGCATCGTTAGTGGTGACAAGGGCCATAGAGGAGTGCCTTTGACTCCATTCCTGTCTAGCTGGGAGACCTTGGGTAAGTCACTCAACCCATTTGTGCCTCAGTTTCCTCATCCAAAAAGTTTAGAAAATATGACATCTATTTGAAATATAAGCCTGGGAGGATTATATAAAATAACGTTCAGAAAACACTTTGAGCGATGCCAGTTCAATAAATATTAGCTATTATTATCTTCATTTGGCAACAAAGTGACTGAATTTTAGAACATTTAAGGAACTTTCTTAAAACTGCACAGCTAATACATGATGGGCCATCTCTAGAACCCAGAACTTCTGCCTCTTGAGGTGCTGTGGCAATATTTAAACATTTAAAAAGATTTAAGCAATTAAGCAGATTTAACACCTAAAAGAGACATTGGCTCCAAAACAATGTATTATTGCAATAGTTTTTCTAAAGAAAAAATTACATATATAGATATGTATGAAAAGTACTGAAAGAATGTACAACAAAATGCTAATAGTTTGTGTATGGAGGGGGAGTTTGAGAATTTGAACAATTTTGTTTTCTTTGTGTTTTGCCGTTTGCCGTGTTATTAAAATTCAGCAGGTATGGATTAGGTAACCAGAAAAAAAGTTATTTTAAGGGCAAGACAACAATAATAACATCAGCAATGACACTGCCATACCTCTTAAATGTGTGATTATATAAATCTTTATATTATTTACAATGCTTTACATTTTCCAGACAATTCTGATTTAGACTCTTGGGGAGTTCCCACAGAACCTTGTCCATGGGCCAATCCCCATGTGGCCACACTCTAATTCTGTGTTTAGGTGTCAGTTTCCACATGTCTGCACACTATTTCTATCCTGGGTACCTCATATGGTGGCACTTTACAAAATGTTTGATGAATGACAGCCATTGGGATTCTAACTTACGAAACAGGATTCCTGAGGACCACCCCAATTCCAAAATTACTAAGATGAGTTACAGAACCTCATTTGCTATACTAGTGAATTATTATGCATTTCTGTATTTTATTTGTGACCAAGACTTATGCTGTTTTTTTTTCTTTTACATTCGAGCATTTAAAAACTACATTTAGCATTTACATTTCATACCCAAGCATTTCGTATCAAGAAGATTTTAATAGTCATCCTCTGAAAAATGCCCTAAGGAAATTTGATCATATTACCCTTTAGGTTGATTTCCTATCTTTAAGTGGTTTTCAAGGGCATTTTTATTACTGTTCAAATAGTTTATCATCTAAGTTTCAGGCTTTTCTCAGAAAGTTTTGAGCCTGTTTCCTTAACAGAGTTATAAACGAGAGTTTAAAAGGCAATGAAAAGCATGGGAGCCATGGGGTAGCCTCTTGGTGTTACCGTCCGTAACACACCTACACCTCACATCTCCTGGCGGCTTCGGCCAGCGCGGCGTTGGTTGCTGCAGAGGCTGCCGTGGCCTGGTGTTCTTGTCAACAGACTCCAGATAGATCTATCTTCAAAGTAGGCATATGGACATTTTCACATGGTCAGATCGGGAGCATGAGGATTAGTGGTATTAAACAATGGATCAGACAGAGAAGGTACCAAGGAGGAAGTCTGTAAACAGAGGAGGCCCTCAGCTTCCGACTGACAGCAGCCGGACATCTACGCTGCAGGAGGAGCGGGGCCGACTGGCCTACAGGGGCTACGCTTAGCGCGGACAGTTGGCAGCCTCACTGGGCCCTTCCTTTCAGGCTCTTCTTTGGTTTATCTAATTCCACTAGTTTAAAATGTGAGAACATAGTGAAGTATATAAGACAACACACCGTTTTAACCTTGGGAAAGTTGCCTAGGATTTCTGGGCCTACGTTATAAAAATGATAATGATAAAAACAGTAATAACAAGTAACATTTATAGAGGATTCCGTCTGTGTCAGGTACTATTCTAAGTGTTTGGCATGTATTAATTCCTTTTATAAAAATACTTCCCTCATGCAGTGTGTCGTTAGGACTAAAGGAAATAACTCAGGCAAAGTTCTTAGCACAGGGCTTGACCAATAATATGAGTTTTCAAAAATGATAACTATTTCATTGTTATTATAAATAATAATAATAATAATAGTAAATGCATCTTTCTCCAGATAAAACTCCAAGAGACTTTACAAATTCTTGGCTAGATGAAGTCCCAAGGCTCTGTCCTATCCCAGAATTACCCATAGCTTAACTCAGTGCCTGGCACATATTAAGTGATTGATAAATACTTATAAAAATAACAAATATCCTAAATTGTATGGATGTTTTTGTAAGTATATTTCACAGGAAAGAAAGTAGTATGTAATTTTCATCAGATTCTCGAAATATTTCATGATCTAAGAAATAAAGAACCACTACTTTGAAAAAGAATTTGTCACTATGTGAGTAATTAAGTCCTAATAATAACTGGGAAGCAGGGAGGAAAAATCTGAGAGGCACTGGCTCCCCACCCTAACAGATTTGGAAAAGCCTTGCAATGCTAGCCTCTGGGTCAGCAGTCCAGGATGGCTCCCTCTCCCCACTTGGAAATTCCCATTTGCCCTCTGGGGCATTTACATAGGACTGTGGGATTGCTAGCTATTCATCTAGTCTCGAATGGATGATTTAATGTCAGGTCATTTCATTCTGGTTTTGTAGAAACCATAGACTGTTAGCATGGGGAAGAACCTCATTCACAGTCTATTTCAGGGTTTTCAAATTTGTAGCAGATGTGCCACTCCTCCCCACCCTGTACCCATGGAAGACATCTCTCTAATTGGGGACAGCACTCTTTACATCTGTGTCTTTAAAATTGTTACTGTATGCAACCATTACCAATTGATTCAAATTAGCATGTGTGAGAAAACCAGTTTTCCATCCATACCCCGTTTCTAATATCCTTCTATTACGGTTGGGGAAATTGAGGAGATGACATTTAATATGTCCATGGATTAGACTTGAACGCTGTGGAGCAAGTGACATGAGAGCTTTGAGATCTGAGAGGTTAAAATCTGAAGGGTTGTAACTACAAACTACAATCATTCAAATATCATCTTTGCCTCTGCTGTCACCTTCCTCATCTTTCATAGAATAAAGAAGAAAATGCTTTTAAATGATCATGTGCACACACCAGTCTAGAGGCAGCTAAAAGCAGGTTTCTGGGCGATGAAATTACAATAGGATTAGTTTAAGTATTATTCTATATGGTTTTGTTTTTTAAAAAATTTTAAACAAGATAGTTATCCAAAGGCTCAGGCTGCTCAGGCTGCCTGCCTGTCTCTCACTGACCTTGCAAAGAGCAGTGTAGGGAAGTCCTGTACTCAAGTTTAAGGCACCTGAAGCCAGTACAACTAGCTGAGGATCAGTCATTTTCTGGGCCTCAGTTTCCCCTACTATAATAGGAGGGTATTTGACCCTTCATAGGACTAGAAAGCTGGATTCCTTGTGCCTGGAAGAGGAAACAGTGGCTCACTGTTGAAGAGTAGGTTATGGACATTTATTTATTTTCCTCTGTGTGTATGTGTGAAAAGAAAGCAAATTTAAGTGAGGGTGAGACTTGGTTAGGGAGAGACATGAAATAAAGTGCATTTCTACCTCTTTAAACCATTAATTAAATAGCATAGACCTGTCTTCAAAATTACTAAACATCACTGTGGTTCCTATAACTTTGAATGGAACCCTCCCTCTGCGTTCTAAGGGCATGTAAGGTATGAGCCCTGTCATAAAATTTCCCAGTTGATTCTATGGGGAAAGCTGGAGTTTTTAGGCAGACCAGTGGAGATCAGGTTCTGGCATAGCCTAGATTTTTTTCTTCTTTGGAAGATCGTAAGGGTGGCCAGGGACGGGAGGATTGCCAGATATGTAGCTATCCCTCTGCCTTTAACATATACTCTAAGGAAACTGGCTTACGGCCCATTCTTCTCTCCTTTTGCTTTGGCCCCTCTTTGCGATGTGAATGTTATAGACAGAAATTAGAAAATAAGCCATCATCGTACGAGAACATATTTATTGTCTGAATAATAAAACTTGGTTAAGGAGTTATTAGAATAACCCCTTCCTGAAGTACAAGTTTCCAATAAGCAAACAGAAGCAAAACCCCCCAATGAGAAAGGATATATTAGGAACCTCAATCATAGGCATTTGGGGAGGTGTTCCAACAATCAATCTACTTCTTCGTAATGGGCTGTAACACTGATGGCACAGACACACAATGAGAGACACAGCAAATCAACATATTGACGTGAGTGCACAACCACCCCAAAGTGTAAACTCCTTAAGTGTGGTCACTTTAATTTACACACAGCCACAGAGACACTCAGACATCTCCCTGCAAAGGATGATCTGCATATAGTTTCTAGCCAATACTCTTACCAAAAAAAGCAAAAACAACAACACAAAAAACAAAAAAAAACAAAACCTTAGAGAACACGGTAATAAATAAGAGAGAAAAGGTGAAGATGACTCAGGCAACTTCCATCTGCCCGCAGGTTTGCAGAACAGTAAGCACCTGGGCCCTCATCTGAGAAACACGCCGTTTTGACAGCTTTCAGAGCCCAGGAGAGAAGACCGAGAGGGGGAAGGAGCTACGCACTCTGCTTTCCGGGTATTGGCACCGAATCTCCAGGATGGAGAAGCTAAACACTGCGTGATCTGTGTCCTTTTAGACGGGACTGCAACAGGCATCTCTGCAGAGTCACCAAGCNGAAGCTAAACACTGCGTGATCTGTGTCCTTTTAGACGGGACTGCAACAGGCGTCTCTGCAGAGTCACCAAGCCTCTAGGAAAGGTGGGAGGCCTGGCTTGAAACTGTTCTCTTCAGGTGACAAATCAATGGCAGTCATATAAATAATGTACGAAAACAAAGTCCCCATTCTTTTAAAGGTGACTTCCGATCATTCTCCAAGTGCCAGTCTGGATATAAAAAACAATGAAGCAGGAGGGAGATGCCAGCCCTGTCTCCTGCCCCCCACCCTCCGCAGCAGGGCAGGGCGCCCCAGCCCTACACCTTAAGGTAGTCGTTCTTCAGCCGACCCAGCCGGGTCCCGTGGCTCCTGATGGTGAGGGCCAGCAGCTCGTACCTGTCCCCCAGCCCCGCGGAGATGCCCAGCGTCTCCTTGAGCAGGGCGCGGGTGTGCACCAGCATGCCCAGGAAGTCCTCGTGGAGCCTGCCCTCCGGCCGGCCGTCCTGCTCCTGGCCCTGCTTGAACTTGCTCTCCAGCTCCGTCAGGGACTTGTCCGAGTTGGAGTAGGCGTCCCCGATCTGGTGCGACTCGCGGCGCAGGTACTTCCCGTAGCTCTCCTCGCCGTCCAGGTCGTAGGAGATGCTCTTGCTGATGCCCTCCAGCACGCGCCCCGCGTCCTCCACCTGGCGGCCCAGCACCGTGAACTGCTCGCGCAGGCTCAGGCTCAGCAGCCGGCCGGCCGGGCCCCCCTCCGCCGGGCAGCGCCCGCTGTCGCTCACCCTGAAGAGCAGCTGGCACTTCTCGGGGTCGTCGTTCTCCTCGTAGTCGCCGTCGGGCACGAAGTAGTGGTGCAGCGTCCCGTTGGACATCTCCGGGTAGAGGGGGCCGTCGAAGTAGCCCTGACACAGGTGGCAGAAGACACCCATCCAGAGGAGCGTCAGGAGCACCATCCTGTACTCTCAGGATGGCAGGGGACCCCTGGAGGAGGCTGTGGGCCCAGACGCGAGGAAGGGCGCCCCCGGGGAGTCAGCGCCCG